TAAAAAGCCTGGGGATGTAGCTCATTGCAAAGGTCCTGGTTTCAATCCCCAGTACCAGAAAAGAGGGAAGAAGAAAGAGAGAGGAGAGAGAGAGAGAGGAGAGAGAGGAGAGAGAGGAGAGAGAGAGTCCACATTATCAACCAGTAAATAATACAGTGTAGTTTAATAGCCATACAATGGAATAGTATTCCGCCATAAAAAGAGTGAAGTTCTGGTACATGCTACAACATGGATGAAGCTTGAAAACATTGTACTAAATGCAAGAAGTTAGGCATAGAAGGCCACAAATAATATGATTCCATTTATATGGAATGTCTAGAATAGACAAATCCATAGAGACAGAAAATGAGATAAGTGTTTACTGGTGGTGGAGAGGATGGAGGGACAGGGAATGATTACTGATGGGTATAGGGTTTCTTTTGGGGATGATGAAATTTTTCTGGAATTAGGAGTGATGGTTTCTCAACCTTGTGAATATACTAAAACCACTGAATTACACACTTGAAAAGGGTGACCTTCATGATATGTGGATTAAAAAAGAATAAAGATCTGCATTTTGACATGATCTCTTCATCACTGGAAAAGGCGATGTACACAATAATATCTCTAATACACGGTTTTTGTGGGTCTTTTTTTAAGTTTTTATTTTATTTTTTATTTTTTTATCTTTTGGTACCAGAGATTGAACTCAGGACCTTGAGCTTGCAAAACAGGCGGTGGAACCAGTGAGCTAAATGCCCGGCCCGAGTTTTCATTTTTTGTTAGTAGCTTTTTGTGTTACCTAATGATTACACTCGTTGTGGGGAGCTGGTGGATGCACCTAACACCTCTCACTTCTTTTTCACCCCCTTCATGCCCTCCCCTCCCTTTAGCTCCCTCCATCTCTTTTTTTTTTTTTTTGGTACCGGGGATCGAACTCGGGCCCTCCTCCATCTCTTGAAAGTCTTTTTTCCTTGGGTGGTGGATTTAGCAAGGCTTCTCTGGGAATCTGTTGATCCTGACCCCACAGCGCAGAGTTTGGGTGGAAGAGTGGCCCCATCTCCTGTGGGTCTTGGAAAATACCTGCTGTGGGCCTGACACTGTGATAAGCACCTTTCTTTCGGTGTCCTGTATAACTGTTCCCATTTTTCAGATAACAAGACTGAGCGATAAGAGAGGTGAGTGACTTGTTAATGTTATGCAGCAAGGACAAGAATCAAATGCAAGCCTCATTCCAGAGAAGGTGAGTCAGAGGCTGGACTCTGAGTCTCATCTGTGTTCCTTGTGGACTGTCAGGCCAGGGGCATGGAGGCTGGGTTGGTTTGGAAGAATAGCCCACAGGAAAACAGTGTGTCTGTGTATTTGCGCTCAGAGGTCATTCATGGCCTTTTATTTGAGGGTAGTAGAAAGAGGACCTCAGGGAGTCATCTTGCCTCAGGCTAGCCCCTCTTACCCTGATGGGAATATTTCTGTAGTTCCTGACTGGTCCACTCATGTTGCCTGATCATTCCATGCTCCTTCACACAGCTGTTCTTGCTGTTGATTCTAACCAGAAAACCCTTCCTACCCACTACTCATGCAACAAACTCCTACGTAGTTGTCAAAACCCAGATCCTATGTCCCTTTTATAATAATATCAGCTATATATTAATGCTAGTAATTATAATTTAGTGAGCTCCCACCATCTCCTGGGCAGATTGAAGTGTTGCTGTGCTTGTTCCTTTCAATTCTCACAGTAATTAGGCAATAAAAATACATGTATAATTATTTTACATTCCTTCCAGATGAGTAAACAACCTAGAGAGATTGGGAAATTTGCCTGAACTCACACAACCAAGACATGAAGAAACAGGTCCCTCTGACTCCAGAGTTCACTCCTTTCCCCCTTACACCACATCCCTTCTCCTGCACCAATCACTTTGAATGGCAAATGCTGCTTGTCACTGTCTTTCACTCTGCAAGCCCTAAAAGGCAAGTGGTGCCACCTATTTCATGACTGCCACCCCAGGGCCCAGTATGGGTCCTGCGCCCAAGGGTTCATTCAACACCAAAAGTGTTGGAAGAGTGAGCTATTCCATGTGCAGAGACAGAGCCTGGAAAGCACGAGTGACATGTTTGTCCTCGCCCTGTTCGTGGGATAGACTTGTTATGTCCCCTGGAGAGGTGATAGGGGGCAGGTTGTGCCTCCTTGAGGACTTGCAGATGTTTCCTGAGGCCCTGAGAGTATTTCTGCTTCTTAGCTGCCTTGGCTGCCTGTCTGTGGGCGCTGCCGGGAAAGCCAGCTTCATAGCTCTGCTGGTGTGAATGTCAACAGCCAATTGTAGCCAGCTCTCTGGAAATTTCACTGACATATCAAGACCACTAGGGGCCCAGGAAGTTGAGTCCCCATCACCAGCTAGTTGGATTCCTGCAGGATCTTTGTGGTACACACAGTGATACAGCGTAGTTGACCCCTTGAGCTTGGCTGTCAGCTCTTGCTTTGAAAATCATCTCTCCCCCTTACTAAATTTGTGGCTATAGGGCAAGTTTCTCAACCTTTCTTAACCTCAATTACTTAATATTTAACAGAGTAATTGCCTCCTTTTCAAGGTCACAGATAGAAGGAGATAATGTAGTTAAAGCCCTAACCATCTGTGCTAGCACAGTGCTTGCATACGATGCTAATTATGATCATAACACAATTATTATTGAACTATCCATAGTAGATTTTTGTTGTTTGATACTAAGAATCCTATTATTAGTTAGGGGAGCAGAATAGTTTTTAGAAGGATAGGCAGGTCCTTTGGTCCTAACTGCTAGATTCTCCCGGTCCTGGATGAGTCCTACCCCAGGATGAGACACCTTTAGCATGAGCATGTGTTATTCTAGAGTCCAGTTCCTAGGGTAACCCTGCAAATGGAGAGGTCTCAGCAAGATGAGACCCCCACTCCTGAATCCCAGACAGCATACAGCCATTTTCCATCCCAACCACCTCACACAGGATCAAACAATTAAGTTATTTAAAATATTTAGTATTATTTGAAGAAAGAGACAATAGTTTTATATTGAATAATATTTAAAAGTTAGGAAACATTTTCACAAGGATTATTTAATTGACATTACATAAGCACACACCCACAGAAAAGGAACATTGGCTTTATTTAAACTCCATTCAAATATTTCTTGAGCTCAGCCAGTTATCATGTGCAGACCTCCAGGGAAGAAAACGATTGACTTGTGCAGTTTTAGTTTCCAGTATTTTCTGCGGACATTCTTTCGTGTACACTTTTTCAAGTCTCGCTGAACTTGGTCATTTTTAAGCTTCAAACAGACAGACATTTGGTACCTGGGTAGTTTCCACTTCATGCTATTATATATACTATCAATTTTTTTTTTTGGTAAAACAAAGTTTTAAAACAAATTTTGAAAGTATTTACTTAGGACAAATCACCAGAAAGGGACTCAGGAGCCAAAGGACAGGAATAGGTTTTTTTTGTTGTTGTTCTTGTTACTTAAGGTTAGGTCATTCTGAAAAAAGATAAAATGAAGTCATGGAGATTGTGCAGGCATTCACTTCTGGTCTGAAATAGGAAAGAAATACAGAAACCATGCCAGTGAGATGACAAGGCACTCTGCTGAGCCAGGCAGCATTTTCTGGAAGGGTTTGGAATTTTTTTTTTCCATGGGCACATTTTCCGCTGATATCCCAGCCCTCTGACTGTCAGTTTACTCAGAGCTGCCACACCCCTGCCTCAACTGCCTTTGCAGGAATTGCGCAGTAGAAGTTTACTCAGAGTGGAGCACATTCTAGAATCTCTCATGAATTCCCAAGAGTCAGATGTCTGCAGTGGGCAGGAAGAAATGGTTTCCCTGAAAAAGGCAGTGCAGCCTGGTGGAGGAATGCTCTGCGCTGGCCAAGCAGGGCCCTGCTTCAGCTGCCGACTCCACAGGTAGTTCCCCGCCTGGATGGCAGAGACTGATGTTACACAATTTTAGACACATTCCTTTGGCTCAGGACTTTGACTCTTGATAAAATATGGGACTCCCAGGAGACAGCACAGTACCATTTATATCCCAGGGTGACATTTTACCAAAGCAGACTCTGAAAACAGGCCTAGTTGGGGTAGGAAGTGAAGAGCTCCCATGAAGACCCCAGAAGTGAAGGAAGGAGCTCCATGAAGGAGGTGAAGCTGGAGTCCAGCCTTCTATATTTCACAAAATCTTCTAAAACCTAGGCATCCTTCTCTAGTCAGGAGGACATTGTACCTGGGGGAACTGCAGACCAGTCCTCCTGAAGTTGGTTGGCCAGACAGAAACCCGGGGTGGATTTTTCCTGTTGGGTTTGATAACTGAGCTGCAGATGCCAGTGGAGTCGCCTTGGGGACGTGCCCAGCCACATGTATGCAAACACTAGGCCTCCACAGTTATTACCACAATGAGACTGTGATTTCTGCTTTGCTGTGGCTCTGGAAGGGGAAGCATCGCCATGATTTAATCTTTACCTCAGCTCAGTACAGTAAGCAAGCTGTGGCTCACACCAAAACCTCCTCTCAGATTTTATCTCCTTTCCCAGTTCTCCGTATTCACTGGGTTCTACTCATTCAGGCTTGTTTTTCCCTTGGATGAACTAAGCTTGTTTCTTTGTTCCTGCTCCTTGATCTTCCTGCCCCTGCTTCCTTGAATGCATCAGCTCAGGGGGGACCTTTTCCAACATGGCTTCCTTGGCCATTCCAGTGGAAGTGTCACGCTGCCGTGAGTCATTATCCCATTACCAGCCTGTGTTTTCTTCTTAGTACTGTCCTTTCCTGAAACTATCTTATTTATTTACATACCCATGTGTTGTCCAGCTCCCTAACCCAATTCCATAACTTCAACGAAAATCACATCAGAGACTTTCTGCTCCCTGCACGGAGCTGAGAACAGTGCTGGCACCTACAAGGGAATCCATCCAAGAATCTCAGGCAGAGATGCCCTATCCTTTCTTCCCTCAGCTTTATTATCGTTTTTTCCAAAGTGGGAGACAGATTATATATATATATCAGCTTGGCAGGGGAAGAGCACCAGGTGGGGAAAGGCTGGGCTGCATGCAGGTTGGAGTTCCTGCCTAACTTAGCAGCTTCACTTGTGTGATGTGGGAACCTCCTACCCAAATCTGCAGAAGTAGCAGACTTGGTCTGTTGGTTTCCAGGGGGTTGAGCCAGATCCAGTGGGCAGAAGTTCATGGATACAGAGCTTAATTCAATGTAAAAGGAACTTTCAAATGGAGCTGACAGGAAGCAGAATGGTCACACTTCCGCCTACTTGGGCTACCTTTGCATCATGTCTATCTCTCACCACCATCAGCCTCTGTGTGGTCTGCCACCAACCTGCAAGCCCATAGAGCTCATTGGTGTCTGGAATGAGACCCCAGCACGGAGGCTGGCAATTCTGCATTGCTGAGGGAACTAAACCAGATGGTCTCTGTGGGCCATTTCATCTCCTATTTCAGGGTCTTGGCTGAGAATAGTTCATTTCTAATCCACATTTTGTGGACTACAGTGCGTCCAGGGAGGAGAGGGTGACAGACTGGATTAAGTTGTTAATGGTGTGCCGGGGTTAAAGCTCGGTGACCCACGGTCCAGTGCACTGGTTAGTGACCACATCCGCCCTCCTGCTGTTTGTGTACCATGGAAAGCTGATCATCTGCATCAGGAATGCAGCAGAACCAAGAAGAAACAGGAGTTCCAGGCCTGGTTCTACTGCCAGTTGCTGTGTGAGCTTGAACTGGGAAGACTCAGAATGTTTGGATTATAGCTAGACACTTCAGAACACCCTCTCTTCTGACTCTAACATTCTAGGACTCAACTAGGAAACCCCAGACTTGAAAAAAACTAGGCCTGTCTCAAGGGCTCAAGCTCAGGCTCCTGTTCTTCAGTAGCTCATCTTTCTTAGTTGACAGCCTGGAACAGAACCAAGACCTCTGACCCTTGTCATCAGCAGCTCAAGTCTTCTCAGAGTGTTTGTTCACAGCTCTGGCTGGGCAGATGACACAAGTGTGTAATCTGTCAGAGGATGGAGCCTGAGACATCCATCATGACAGACACAAGCTGAATCGAGTCCAGAGGCATCCTGGAGGGTGTCCCACCAATGCCCCTGACTGGCCTACTCATCCAGAAGGCAGGAGAGGGACTTTGTGCATCTCTAGGAAAGTGTAGGGATTCCTTGGGCAGCATTTATGCCAAGGGCTCCTTGTATGTGGCAGCCCTGGGCAGGCTGCCTGGTGGTTCAAAACCTGGAGCAGGAAGGGAATGTAATGACAAGGAGCCTTTTCATGATGTCTAATGTAGTTTCATGATGTTTTGGTCTAGTTGCTTCTCTGACACTCATCTCCATCTTTGGCATAACCATGCAGGAAGATCAGGGAAGCCTAATGCTGTATTCTTAGACTGTTCCCTGTCCTCTGCTCTTTTCCCATAGAGATGACAGGCTCGAAACACCCAATATTTGAGTAAACATTTCCCAAGCCACTTCTCTAAGCTAACTCCAGCTTATTAACTGGGGTTAAAAGTGAATTTATTAACTTTTTAATACTCTGATATATATACATGTATACGTATATATATGATTCTCACAGGAATAGGCGTTTCATGGTGCATAAGTTGTGTAGATCACAGCAAAGGGATGGATATGCTGTCTTTTTCTTTCTCTCTCTCTTTTCTTTCTTTCTTTGTTTGTTTGTTTCTTTCTTTCCTTCTTTCCCTCTTTCTTTTTCTTCTACTGGGGATGGAACTCAGGACCTTGTGCTTGCGAGGTAGGCATGGTGCCACTGAGCTAAATTCCCAGCCATGGATACACTGTCTTTAAAGGAATATACTTTTCATGTTTCAAAAGTAAAAATAAATAGATACTTTAACAGAAATATCAGACATATCTCCTGAACTCAAGAGTTTGGATAAATCATTTTACCACTTTGACCTTCAGTTCTGCAAGATAAGATTAATGATCTTGGTCTAGAGGTGCCAGATTTAGCACATAAAATTATAGGATACCTAGTTCGATTTGAATTCCAATTTGAAACAGTGAATGAAAACTATAACAAAGATATGTCTCATGCAATATTTGGGACATACTGATACTAAAAATTATTTACTATTTATTTGAAATTCAAATGTAACTGGACATTTTGTTTTTTATCTGGCAACCCTACCCCTGTCCCAACTAGTCTGGGAATTTAATGAGGTGCAGAAGGAATAATATGTGGATTAATAATGTATGAAAGTGCCTTACTGTTTACAGAGTTCTGTGTCAGTGAGAAGGGTTTGGATTGTATGACTTTGGTATGAAGGGGTCTCTTGCAGGTCCAAGAGTCTGGTCTCTCTGGAGATCCCAAGACATGAGGAGGAAGATCCAATGCTGCACCCCACATGAACACTTCATACTCTGGAACATTGGAATCAAAACTGATGGCTTAAAATGGAGATTGGAGAGACATGTAGAAAAGCCCAGGGGTTTTGGCTCAGAAAAAAACTCAAAGTGGGCTCCACCAAGATGTCACCCGTCTCTGCATCTTCTGGCTGTATCCTCAGGAGTAAAAGTTCTAGAATGCTTTTACTACTCAGACTCCCTGGAGGTTAGAATAGATGGAAATGGACTTGATTCAAGGGATTTGAGACCAGTGTCCTGGCAGGGAAAGGAAAGATGGGAATTTTGACCAGGGGACCTGTGAAATCAGGGGATCCAAGCCGTAGGCTTGCCATCCAGCACAGATCTTACTTTCTAGATGATGCTACTGCCATCCAAGGTGACATTTTGCTTTGGTAAGTAGCCCTGGGTAGACATTCTAGTCTAGAGGAGCAGAACACCAACAGAAGCAGCAATTCTTCACAGTGGGAAGGCTGGAAAAGCCCTTGGAATCGTCATTCTTCCCTCCTTCCATTTTAGAGATTGGAAAGGAAAGCTCGGGCTGGGGATGTGCCTCACCAAAGGCCATGTGAAAGGTAGGGCAGAACTGGACTGGAGCCCACATCTCTGCTTCCCAACTCAGGGTCAGGTTCCCTGCTCCCCATGCTCCCCTGGGATCCCGTTTCTGGGCAGGATTCTCAAGCAGCCACTGTCCTTCAAGACCAATAATCCTCTCCTCACAGAGGGGAAAGATGGTTATTTCATAATAGTGGTGATAATTGTCTTGGGACAGTGCTTCATTCGCAGAATACTTTCATGTTGTTTATCTCACCTCTCATCAACTCCCACCTTCCTACACCTGAACCTCCTGCACCTGTTGCCAGTCCTTGAATGTGCAGTGGTCTCCCAGATAGGCAGTTAGTTCAGTGCGGTGGTTAGAGCCAAAGGACATAGGGTTGCAGCCTGGCTCTGCCCTTTATGAATTGTGCAAATTATGTAACAGAAGTTAACTCGCCCTGAGTTGCCTCATCCATGAAATGGGGATGATAATGTGCTTCGTAGGATCCTCATGTGAGAACTAAATGACTGTGCTTCTAACAGTGCCTAAAAATTATTGGGGCTTAACAAATATAAGCTCCTATTCTTAGACCATCGTTATTATTTCAGAGCTCTGCTCCACCACCCCAAAGCCCTTTTCCTTATTCCTACTTCTCCTTCAAGACTTGGCTCAACTTACCCTGCCCCAGAGAATCTTCTCCCTCCAGCAGAGTTAGCTGTTCTCTAACATTTACTGCACATATTTAAGTGCGTTATGTTTGCTTGTTTTCTAAGCGGTAATCTTCAGCCCTATCTTTCTTTTCAACACCAAGCATAGAATCAGGCAAATGTTTGTGCTTATGATATTTGTTGAATGAATGCACAAATTATCCCATTGATTCCTAAATCAAGGAGTCATTCTTGATGACTTTCCTTCACCCGATACCCAATCCAACAGCAAGTCTTGACAATCCCACTTTTTAAACATCCCAACTCTGCCTCCAGGGCAGACCAAGCCACCATCTTCTCACATCTTGGCAGCTCAGCCTGCTCACTGTTTCTGCCTTTGCTGCCCCATTATCCATGCTCATCCCTCTGCTTCAAGCTCTGCCTCAACCTCTCGTTGGTCTAAGAATAAAATCCAGTCTCTTATATGGCTACAGAGCCCTGCAGAATCTAGTGCATACCCTCTCTCCTTCTCTTATTATGCTTCACTCATTCTCATCTGCTTTCTGCCCCTTTTTCTCCTCCATGTCTTGCAATCGAAGTTCCTTCTGGTTGTTGCAGAGTTGGCTCATTCTGATTTTAGCTGGACCGTTACATCCAGAGAAGCTTTCCATGACCACCCTAAGAGGATGTCTCTCAGTTATTCTGTGTCCTAATACCCTTTTAATGTCTTTTGTGGCAATTATCTTAATCTATAAATATCTTGACTCCTCATCTATTAATTGATCTCACTTGCTTTACTTGAAGTACCTTGAGTACAAGGTCCCTCTTTCTGTTCTGCTGTTCAGTAGCATGTCTCCAGATCAATGCTTAATACATTTTTCCTGGATGAATGAATGAATCCTCCTAAAACACAGTAAGTATTAGATTCACATTTTACAGGTGACAAATGGAGCTTAGAGAGGTTGATTCTTGCTATAAAAGGCTGGAAGTGGTGCAGCCAGGTTCACAAGATCATAGACATTTCCCAACAGAACATTTCACCTTGAAAGGAGATACACTTTGGGCTGGGAACCCAGTCGGGTTGATTCATAGACTAATTTCCCAATGTGGGACCAGTTGGCAGAGATGTTTCTGCCTCTTAAAGAGATAGAGCTGCCAGTATGTGCTTAAGGATTACATCCAATTCCAAATTCCAGACTGCACTTGAGGCATTGCACACACCCAATAAACCCTGTCAGAACAGTGCAGTAATTGTTTGAGAAAGAAAATGAGACCCACAGTGCTGAGAGGAGGCCTGGTCTCCCAGGACCCTCTGCAGAGGTTGTTCTAATTTAGGCCTGACAGGACAAGAGAGATGTTTCTAGCTCCCTTACACCAGTATTGGCCTAATTTGGAAGATTTTCATCATTCCCAAAGCCCCCACTGTTGCCTAACAGTGGACCCTGATCGTTGTCATTAAAGTTCCACCTTGGTCATGGATAATAAGCTGGGAGCAGGTGCCATTTCTGTGATTCTAAGAGCAAAGCTCCTGGAGAGGGAGCCTGGTGACACAGAGCCCTTGATCAGAAGTCAGAGGGTGGGGAAGCCCACTGGGTGTCCAGCTGGTAGACTTGAGGCCTTCACTGGCCCTCTGTGGCCTCCTAGGTAAGCAATGTTTTGTTTGAGTCTAATAGCGACCTGGAAGTTAGAGGGTTAAGATCTGACCCTGGCTCTGTTGTTAGTTTGCAATGTGAAATCTTGTCAAGGTCCCTTCTTTTTGTGGGTCTTTTTGTTTATCATTTGTGCATGGACTTATTTTCAGGGGCTGATGCCTAAGTCTCCCTCTCACTCATATTTGCTCTTTTTGTGAGCTTTTTAGAAATATTTGCTCCTCTAAAACTGAGTTTCCTTACCATCTAGTCCTCAGAAGCCAGCATGAAATTGATCCAGCTTTCTTAAACTAGTCCACCAAAGGGCATCAGATCCTAAAGGCCCAAGACTTCTCTGGGAACCTCAGGAGGAAGGGAGTCAAGGGTCCACTTCTGCCAAGCACTCTCTCAGTCCTGATGCTGCCTTTGGACAGGAATAGACCGCAATGAAGGAGGGGCTTCATGGGGCTGAGGGCACAGAAGGCAGGGAGTATGAGGGAGTATGACTGCTCTGAGAGTCTAGAATTTCTTGGCATGGGATCCCACGGACACTGCACCCTCTTGGCCTTGATCTACTATATGGAAAGACAGGTTTAGGAAAATCAGGTATGTACCAATGTCTTTTGAGCGTTTACTATGGAGTGGACTTTTGCTCAATGCTTTATGTACATCGCTTTGTTTGACCTTGAGGCCTGTTTGATAAATATGATGATTCCCATTCCACAGAGGAGGAACTGAGACCCAGAGCTGAAGTAACTTAAGCAACATTACACAGCTAGAATGATCAGGATTCAACCCAGGACTCTTGATGGCTCGCTAACTGTTTCTCCTAATAAAAAATAAAGTGAAGAAAGCACAGTAAGCTGTTGTGGAAATCACCCTGGACCTGAGGTCTAAAGCACTTCCATTTAACAGCTTAGTAACCTTGGGCAAGTTATTTGGCTACTTTGAATTATAAGATGCTTGCTTAGAAAGTGGGGATAGTCACTCCTTTATTTCATAGTACGAGATTAACGGGGATAATGTATATGAAGTGCTTGGAATTGATGCTTGGTACAGAATAAGTGCTCAGTAAATGTTAGGCGTGGTTGCTATTGTTATTATCACTGCTACTATTGTCACTAGCAGCTTCCTTCTTGGCTTGTTGCAATGCTCAAGTGAGATAATGTCTGGGGAAGTGCTGTTTGCTGTGCACCTGTCAGTAATCCTGTCCCCTTTACTACAATTCTAGCAACCTCAGGGGAAGAGTTATTTGTGAAACTCTGGCCCCATTCCTCCCCAAAATGGTTCAGATTCTTTGCTCTGCAGCCAACGCTGATGACGAACGAGGGTTTGACTTGGTGCCCACTGTGAATGACGTCCTTCAGGAGATCTCCAAGAACTGCAGCAAATGCTTTCCTGAGCTTATTTTAGCATTAGAGGGACCTCGAAGGAGGATGTCAACATTTGGCTTCATCATTTGGAGGTGGTCCCGTGCAATTAATGTGGTTTGACGCGATCTTTTTTCCCCCTCATCATCCTAAGAAGAGATACCAAGGAGTGGATCAAGGAGTGGTTGGCAGACACAGCTCTACATTCAAAGGAATTCTAGTGTTGGTTATTAGTAATTT